AGGAAGGCCTGGCGCAATATGGTTCATGAGGTCATGAAGAGTCGGACACGACTTAACGACTAAACAACAACAACTCTCATGATTCTGAACAAATGTGGTTGTATGATGCAGTTGCGTGCAGTGGATTTTGTGCTGTATTCTGGCTAGAAGCTTGATATTTATAGGAGATGTTGGCCTCTAGTAGAAGGTAGTGCTTATATGCCCAGTGATTTTATGGGAAGTGTCCAGAAACCAAATTTGTTTCATGGAGTGGTCTAGGCCACCATATTTTGATTGATGAAAAAGAATCACTCTGTGGAGGTGATTGCTTATATAAAATGTATTTATGTCTGTTCTTCTATACTGCAATAATACCCTGACTTTGTTTGGGGTTGGTGATTATCTGCTTGTTTTGAATATATGCTTAAGCACAAGTCTGTTTAAGTATACATCTGGCAAAGGAATAAAAGCATGATAAATTTGATTTATTAAGGTAAAACTGAAATAATTAGTGAAGGATACAAGGGTGATAAGAGATACTGAGTATGACAGACCATTATTTAGAATAATCAAGAGTGGATCCTGGAGGTGGGGAGAATAGGCATTTAAGAAAAAGGAACAGCTGAAAAAAATTAGAGTGAAAGGTTTATAAAACAAAAGTGATCACATGCTGGAAGGAACATTTCAGAGATTTATACCAGAATGATAGTGATATGTCAGAGTGGGATTGAAATGAATGCATACTATGCATTCTGTAATTATTCGGGCCAAAGAGGAAAAAAATGAGAAAATGGAAGTCATAAACCTTTTGAGAATGGTAGCGCTGCAACATGTAATAAGATCCAGCCATTCAAATGTAAATTCGAACAGCTTAGGTGTAATCTAAAATTAAATGCCTTAGGTAGGCATTGTAATGTAAAATTAAATGCCTTAGGTAGGCATTTAAAAATGCAGTACTGCATTCTATTAACACTAAGGCTAGGAACTAAAACTAATGCTTAAAATTAGATTTAGTATATAAAGAACCATAAAATTGAGTACCAGTGATTTCTAAAACTATTCAGTCTATCCTGCAATAAATTAAGAATATAAAAATAAATTGCACTGTAAAATAATAAATTACAGTCAAATTCATACAGGACAAAAGACTGACTGATCAAATACGAATAAGTTATTCACATAAACCAGAAGTCAGTCATTTACGTACATTCAGCTGTTTGGAAAATTTCACTTCCATGTGCAGAGGAACATTCCTCAGACCGGCCTGGAGCGTGCCAAAAAGAAAAAAAAAAACCTCTTTCAGTATCATTACAGAAAGAACACTGTAAAGGCAAATGGAGGATGGATTCAACTAAACCATCACCACAAAAGCAGATTCAACTACCCATGAGAGATATCAGAGGTGTATTGGTTGGGGATACGCCCTGTCGCTGGCTGCAAAGCCAAATTACTTGCAGCACGTGCGGAAAAAAAATCCTAACAGTTGTGAAGCGGAAGCACGGTCGCTGCTGGGCGCTGTCTTTTACAGAAGGGCTGGGATTGGTCGGGCGCCTGGCGCAGTTTGTTGAGGTCATCAGAGGTGAGCGGCGGCGTCGCTTTTGAGAAAGAGAGACGGCCACGTGGGAAGGGGACAAGTTTTGGGTAGGTGCGACTGGGAATGGGAATCTCCCGAAGTCTCCTTGACATTTTCGTAGATCGGAGTGTGTGTGTGTTTGCGTGTAATATACACACGCGCACACATAGATCCCTGTGTGGTTTTTTGTTTAGATTGTAGCGTCACTTTTCTGGGAGTAAATTACTGAATAGAAAGAATCGAATTATAGGGCGTCTGATTGTCCTCTTAAACAGTATTTTGTTTTCTCATGACGGCTTCCAGAGGCGCTCTTCACGAGTGGCGCAGAGAATTTTAGTCTAGTACAACATTTGGTTTGACCCAGGGCCGCATCATTTATTCTTCATACTTCATATGCGTTTTGAGAAATGGGAAAGTAGGGCACTGAGGTTCAGGAAATGGTTGCTCTTGTTTTGCGTTATCTGGGCTCCTCCCTCCGCCCATTTCTCGTTGGTTAGCCTTGCCACTAGAAGAGACCACAACCTCACTTCAGACGTTTGAAGTAGCATTTCAGGCCACCAAGAGAGGTGGGTGACATTTTATATATTAATACTTGCTGACCTGTAAAAAGAAGGGGTTTAAAAAATCCATAAATATATTGCCAACAGCACTATATCCAGCACTTTTTATTTGCACACTGAAATAGTATTACAAAGCCCCATTTGGGATGCATAACTTTTTCATGTGTGCAAGAGTAATATTCATACGATTAAAAAATACTTTGAGATGAGAGGTTATTTTTTTCTTAAAACTTGCAACATATAATTCCCTCTAGATTTTGGAAACAAAATCAAAACTTTTATTATGCCCATTGATCAGAAATAGAAGCAAGTTATGATGCCTTATTTTTACGTTAAGGCATGTTAAGATTATGTTTTACTTTAACATGACAATAATGTTGTGGTCTTCTAATGAAGTCTGGAAATGAGAAGAAATGAAATTTGACTTTGTCTTATTTGCACCCTTTGAAGTTAATAGGCCTGATAAAATCACTATTTAATTCCAATATCTTGCACATGTTAATTCACCCAAAATGCACTGGTGTCATCTGATGTCTTATCCTATCCTGTCATATCCTAGAATGATCAGCACAAAGAGGATTTCACAGGGGTTAAAAATGCATGATTTCTATGACTGCAGTAAACTCTGAAGGCCTTACTTCAAGCTAAATTATCTTTTGCTTTGACATTGTTATCTGCCAGCTGCCTAAGATATATTATGAAGTTGATAATAATACTGGTTAATGCATACAACTGGAAGTTCAGTTGATTTTGTAGGCTTGTATCTTTATTGAACAGAAAGAAGACATGTCATTTCGAGGGAGAGGTGGAAATAATCGTGGTGGATTCAATCGTGGTGGCGGCGGTTTCAATAGAGGTGGAAGAGGTGGTGGAAGAGGTGGATTTGGACGTGGAGGAAGAGGACGTGGTGGCTTTAATAGGGGCAGTTATGACCAAGGACCTCCAGAAAGTGTAGTTAGTAAGTATATTGATTTCTAGAGGAAATGGAAGAAACACTTAGATACTAGCTAACTTGATTTCTTAATTTAAACTCCTTCTTTGCAGTTCTTGGAGAGTTTATGCATCCTTGTGAAGATGACATTGTTTGTAAATGTGTCACTCAAGAAAACAAAGTACCTTATTTTAATGCACCAGTTTATTTAGAAAATAAAGAACAGATTGGGAAAGTGGATGAAATATTTGGGCAACTTAGAGACTTTGTATCCTTTGATTGTGCACTTTTGAATGCATCTTAATCCAAAGTAAACAAAATAGTTAATTTGGTTATTTGTATACTTGGAAAGGTAACAAAGCAGATCTAAAAGTTACATTTAGTTTTAACTGCCTATACTACTGTATTCTGTCTATTTAGCAGTTAGAAGATGAGCTGGTTTATGTTTTGGCATTTTAGTTTGACCAAAGTTCTAGATTGGTAAAAAAAAAAAAAAAAAAAATTAGGTCTCCTTTAAGTTGAGCTCAATTCCCAAAGATGACATGGATATAGCCATTGATTTTTCTTGATAACAAATTACAATTTCCTGGTTGCCTCACATCCAACTTGTAACTAGGACTGACCCCAGTTAGCTGATCCAGATCAGCAAGGACAGCAAAGTGCTAGATGGGACCTTTACATTAATTCAGAAATGGTATACACTTTGTATATAACATAGACACAGCTTTTCAGTCAGTATGGCTGTGTCCCTTTTTTACAAACCCCAAAGCAGTCATTCAAAACTAGTTACTATTTTGCTGGCTGTTTAGATTCTAGAATTTATTTCTTATATCTGTATTTTGTAACGTTTGATATGAAAAACTGCAGTGTTTTCTTGAGAATACTTAGCAATGTAAATGAATCCTTTAATCTTATATTCAGTTTTACTAAGAATAGTGTTTTTTAAACTTGGGGATTGATAAATACATCCCTTTTGACTGCATTTAATTCTCAGAAGTCTGTTCTGCATTTGGAACTGCTGTATGATAGGTGATATGAATGGATCTCTCAGCCTCATCTGATCATTTTAAATTATAAGGAATTACATGCAGGCTAATCAACTTCTTGAAGAAAGTTAGGCTCTCCCTTGCTTACGGACCTCCTTATATTTCTGTGATGGACATGAGAAAGGGATGGCTTCTCCCCTAAGCCTGTGCTATAGTGCTTTAATTTTGATGCAAAACAGTAGGGAGTGCTCTAATTCCAGTCTGGTTTCTCTCCATGTGTTGAACTCTAATGTCCCTGATAGTTGGGAGATTCTAAAATTTGTAGCTTCAATATATCTAGAAGGCCTCAGGTTGGAAAATACTAGTCTTGGCTATTGTTTTGCTGCTCTTATGTTTCATATTATTTATTTTAATGATCAGTCCAAGGATGCTGGATTGTCATAAATGGTCTAAAAAAGTCTTTTATAGATTCCTGCCTACTAGACTCTCATTAAATTTGAGGGTTAATTTTTAAACTGATAAAAAGGCACTGTGTGAGGAATCTTGATACAGTTTTCCTTAAGCAACTTTGAAAGTATTTTTCAGTTAAACTGTCAGAAAATATGAAAGCTTCATCTTTCAAAAAATTACAAAAGGTAAGGTCCTGTTTATGTTCAATGTATATAATATGTAACCTCGCTGCCCATGAAACATTCATAAACACTGATCTAAATTCTAAAAAGACTGGGTTCTAGTCCTGCCTTAGGCTGGGTGCCTGGGCCTGTTGCTCTCTTTCAGCTCTAGCAGGGAGGCAGTGGCAAACCACTTCTAAAATCTTTCCAAGGAAACTACAAGGACTTGTCCAGGCAGTCCCCAGGAGTCAACACTGACTCGAAGGCACCAAAATAAATAAATAAATAAATAACCTACTACATTAATCACTAGTTATTCTAACTACTAAATGATGGAATTCTCTGATACTCACTGGTGCATTTTGCTACTTGCTCTGATTCACTTCCTCATTCTTGGATTCACTGGGGCTAACATCTGAGGACTAGCTGTGCGGTACTTCCAATCAGTAATCTGTACCTGCTCTTTTGATTTTCATTAGGGTAATAACTGGAGGTCCTTGTTTTGCAATAATATTTTTTTTAAAAAAAATAAAATCCTCTTCTAAAAACCTGTTTGTACTAGGATGGGAAAGGTTATCTATTTTGCAAAAGGTAGGATGTTAGAAAAGATTAAGTCTCCCACTAGCCTCCCAGTAATGCATCTAACCCCCCCCCCCAAAGTAAAATAGAAGGACTGCATCCTATTTATTGAACTGCATTATCTAGTTTGTCTCTGAATAAGCATATCTGGGTGTGCAGTCCAGTGTTCTTGAAACCAGTGTGACTTGATTTACATGTGGCTAATTTATTACGTTTATTTCAGTTGAAGTAATCTTAATTATTTTTAATTGGTTCAAGAAAATAGTAACATTTAAGGAAGAGGCAAAGGTTTGGCAAAGTCTAATGCTAATCTCCTTCTTCAGTTTTACATCGATCCAGCAAAATTGCTTCCTCTGCAGAGGTTTTTGCCAAGGCCTCCTGGTGAGAAAGGAGCTCCAAGAGGTGGAAGAGGTGGACGAGGTGGGCGAGGTGGAGGTGGAAGAGGTGGAGGTGGAAGAGGTGGAGGTAGGTAGATTTCTTTCTTACAGTGGGAACAAATGTATGCAATAATGGAAGAATTCTTTTTAGAAGATTACAAACAATATATTCCTGAAAGCTAGGGTTGCTCATTGGATTCAGGCAAAACCCCAAATGTGAGGGAGAGTGGAGTAATTTGGAGGGAGATTGTAATTTATCCAGGACAGAACAGATGAATTTGCTCCACCCAAAATCTCATTCTCCATAAAGTTAACCTCTCTTTATAGTTTTGGGATGCTGCAAATTGTGGTAATGCAGCAGCCAGAGCAAAAAGGAATAAGCCCCAAAGCATGTATTGGTTGTGTAAAATGCCATAGTGGGAAGGGGAATATTGATTTCAGGCCCTCACATCAGACTGATTCCTAGTTAGGGTGTCTATTAATCCCAGTTGGCCATCCCCCATCACAGTATTTGGATAGATGGCAAGATAGTTAAGTGGAATGGAGAGTTCCTTGTGCTGCTAGTTAGCTGGCCCAGCCTAGGAACAGCTTAGTTCTTTTATGAAGAAAAAACAGGCAGATGCATGCTTTAAACACCCACATTATCTCTGACAATGTACTCCATTACCTTCAAGGAAAGGTCTTATTATAATTTCTTATGAACACACTCTATGTCCACCTTTCCTAAATGTCTGCCTGAAATTTGCCAAGGATACTCTCAGCAGAAGGTGCTATTCTTGCTGCACATTTCATTATACTCTGTTCCAAAACAATAAAGTAAAAAATCTGATTTTTAAAGAGTATGGATTTTTATGAAAATTTTATCTATTATTTGTCTATTTTATCTACTCATAAAGAGTTACTAATTCTGATCTTATATTGCTAAAAGACAAAATTACAGCCATTTATGTTTTATCCCTGCTAATCTGTAGGAGTCATGGTTTTTCTCAGTCTGCTATGGATCTGGGAACTACTCAGATTGAATTACTCAGAATGGATTATGCATTTATAGAGCACTGGATCCTTGTTCAGTATAGATTGAATGGTCTCTCCACACCTTGACTGATGAACCTATAGATATGTTCATAGTCTTCTGTTGTCTGTCATTTATTCTCACCCCCTTGATGTTATAAAAATCTCATCTGTACTTTTACTTGTTTGTAGGTGGTTTCAGAGGTGGTAGAGGTGGTGGAGGTTTCAGAGGAGGACGAGGCAGAGGTGGTGGCCGAGGATTTAGGGGTAAGTGTATTCATAACCTTGAAATATTAGTTTTTAGAATATTTATCTCTCATGCTGTTTGTTATGGGCATATTCAGTATTATCTTTGCAATGTTCAGCTTTTTGCTTCTCAAAGTAGATAATTTTAGTGACTTTCAAACTTTAGAAGAAAGTGTAGCATTTCTTGCAAAGTAATCAGAGCTTCCTTATCAATCATAGAAGCTTAGTTTCCCTAATGGGTAGCTTGAGCACCAACACCAGTTGCAAAGCATGGGAACATGTTGCATGAGTTTATGATGTATTTCAGCTTATATGCACAATCATAATGCTTAAAGAACATTAGCCTGGCTAATTGGGAATGAATATGTGTCTTAATACATTCCAAAATACTACAGAACAATGTTATGGTAAATAAAGGACCCTTTGGTAAGATAGCATAAAAGTGGGTTTGGGTTATAGAAGGTTTGGAAAGTACAGCCAGGAACAGAAGTTCCCAGCATCTTGGGGCAGTTCCGGCTCTTCACGAAGATGCAGTGGTGCTGGTCTTCCCCTCAGACCTGGCATATCTCTCTTATCCAGGTTTTAGCAGCGGTGCACAGTTAGGAAACTACTCTTATATACTGCACTGTCCTAAGGAGATGCTACATTAGCTGATTCTAATTTCCAAATAGTGAGAAGTGCAGGCATCAAATCACAGTGTTGTGATCAAGTTCAGTGTGGTGGCTGGGATAAGGGGGCATTCAATGAAAAGACTGTTGGCTGCCACTTTTCTGGAAGAGTCTTCATACTTTGGATAGGCTGCCAGCCCAACTTTACTAAAGGGATATTAAAATCATTAATCCAAACAGTTCTGAGACAATGCTACAGCCAGGTTTTACACATTTTTGAGATTAGGTGTGGAAAATTTAATTTGTGGAGTCTTTGGGGTTCTCTGAGCTTGGTTCTTTTCTTGCAAACGTTTCATTACCT